ATATATAGAATTGCCAAAGATCAGTATTACATTTTGTCCCTCTTTCCTGTATTTTTTTTTAGTGGAGAGTTTTGAAACACAGTAGCAATAGCAATTTGCGATGATGCAAAGCTACCGTTTGAAACAGCGTTAGATTTTTGTAAAAATTTACTAAGCATACAGAAAAAAACTGATTGAAGCAGCAATTTGTAAGTGTCATCGCAGTTAATAACACTCTCCGTCAAGGAGGGTAACGCTGAGGGAATGCTGTCGATCTCAAAATCTGAAAGGGTTCCCTCATTCACATATGGAGTGAGGTAGGTTCCAAATAGGTTACGACACTGTTGTACTATGAGGCAGTGTGGGCGCAGATCTGACCACGTCAACTCAAAACCTTGGCCTATCAAGAAGCAGTCTGCAACGCATTTTGAAGCAGACTTTGCATCCTAATTCTTAAATGGTACAATCGACCTAACAGTCGGAGCTCTAGGACCATCCCAACCGTCGTTTTTTCGTTGCTTATAGGTTGCACTTCTCTAATGAAGGTCATCTTCAACTAAATGTCTTTAGCAATAATAGAACTTAAAGTAAATGTCGAATATTAGCCTCGCTCTCAGTGAATCACTACCTGCTGCGGCTTACGGAACGAAAGGTCATTGCATCCTCTTTCCTAAACATAACGATATGGAACGGCCGGTAGCAACAGTCAGTGGCGAGTGCTATCGTGAGGTTATGCACAGTTTTTTGTGAGTCGAAATAAAGAATTGAAATATAAGCCTATCAAAAGGCTTCAAAGGTTACTATCTCTAATGCGTAGCGGTGACATATAGTAAGCGCTTCGGCCCTGTAGTCACCTTTCTCCGAGTCTTTTCTATGGGCCTAAATCATTGACAGTGTCTACTAAATAGCGCAAAGGATAATACACGACTTGAAATACCGCATTTGGGAACATCGACTAATGAAATCGGAGCGGAGCTATCGTTCAGAACCTTGAAAGGTAGTTGTCATTGGTTTCCTTAAGTGTTAAACTAAGCTGAAAATAGAAACACGTACAAACATTTGCTGTTATTTTCTATTTCGGGGCATTGGAAAACTATATAGATTTTTGAATCATCCTATCGATACGGTACATACATGCGTGTACCCCTCACTCGTGAAACACGTTCAGCCATGGGTAGCTTGCCGGGTTAGTTGATCACATGCAGAAGTCAATAGTTATTTTACGTAACGTTAAAATCATTTTTACATGATTATAATTGTGTGAAAAGTCATTATCGTATATTATATATTTTTATCATCGATATTGCAACTTTCGTTTTACTTTCGAAACAACAGGGACGCTTCCGATAATAAGAGGGAGTCCGTTTTTGCTTTACAAACTTGTACGTTTTTCAGCAAACGTATTGAATAAACTAACGACCGATTAACGACAACGCCATAATCGCTAGTGGTGCCTTAGACAAGTCCTCGGAAAGTTCACAGAGAACTCCACCCGGACATCTGTCCTATTCTCGATGAATCCAAGCTGTGAACTCAAATCGAAACATTGAATCTGAATTTACAGGCCAAATAAATGAACCCAAAGAAAAGCCAACAACTGCTTAACGAGCGTTGCAACAGTTCTATTCATTATTGCAGCTCGCCAGCTAAGACACCGTTCTTCACAACGTCAAGATCGGATCCTGCTACCAGATACATTTGAATTCCTAACGTTTTTCTAACTAATCCAATATTTTGCGTCTAGATTGATAAAGATTCATTATCACCACACGCTTAAATAAATTTCTTTGTTTCAAAGAATTACACCAACCCGTTAGCCGGTCCATAGGCAGGAACTGCGTTGTTTTCGTCCTAGCCATATATATACATATATATATAGAGGGTTCATATTTTGTTACTGTTGATAACGAAAATTCATTTGATTCCTTTTGATGAGTGCGCCCATGCCATGAGCGTTAATAGCCGCGGGAACAACTCAGTGAGGTGATGACCTTGACATCGTCGTCGCCGTTATCTGTTTCGGCCTGTATGTCGCACTGGCTTATACTGAGACCAAGTGAGCTCCCTCTGAACAATATTCCTGTCAGATGGTGCGGTGCTAGAACTATCGCACTTTGTCTCTACGCACAGAGTGGCTCAAAGCTCGCCGCCATCAACCCTATTCCTAAACATCGCGGCCCAGACATTATGGTCAAGAAGCCCAGCGTCTTGCCTACATTAGCATCATCAGCACTAATCCCTTCGCAACAGCCCCAAGCGTACTGCTATGACCAACCGCTTACCGGCTACTCCGAGCTTTGCCTAATCGCGAGAAAAGGTAAGCCAAGCTGTAGCACCGGAGGTCAAAGAGAAGCGCTCTAGCTATAGTGGACACAGCCTTAGGTTCGGCTCAGCCTGGCCTGAAGCGGTCAGCCGGCCCGTCGGAAGGCTTGTCGACTAAGGACATTCAGACACATTCACGCGCTTACGCGCACACACACACACACACGTATAGACAGTGCTATAGACGATGTACCTGTTTGTTGTTGGTACAGCCGAGTAAAATAGGTACTTTTTACACAAGACAGACCCAGTCGAGTCAATACGACAAAAGCAACCAAGGGTTGCTTGCCATCACGTCCTCGTAGGTTTTAACGCTCCGATAGGCAATGCAACAGCTATTGGTAGCGCTGAGCGACGGAAGGCCGTTGAGCGAGCCGTCTACGATGCCGATGCTGATGGTAACAGGGACCACGGTGGCCGGGGCCGCCGCCGCTACTGCAACAAACGGGCTAGCTTTTGATTGGGGCTGGTCGGGCGCGTGTCCTACGACGAGAGGTGAGGCGCGTATGCAGAGAACCTCCTCGCCACGGATGCGCTCTCTCCTGCCTCTTAAAGGTGGTCGCGCACCCTGACCAGACGTCGTCGCTGAATCTCAGCCCACAGACCAGTATAGCAGCAGGCAGCATCGGCCACTTCAGTCCAACTCCACCGGTAAGCATGCGGCCGTCTAAGTAAAATCAAATCATGAGAGATGATGATCAAATGCAACAATAATCAAGTTGAAGGAGTTCAGCAGGTGCCCTAAAAAAGTGTTACATCGTACAGAAAGGAATACCCTGAGTTCGTTGAGGATCGAACAACTGTAGAACACGCATGTAATCGCTACACATTTAGCTACTAGCAGTTATCTGTGTACAAGTACAATTATTTACAACTCCAAGGACTACCCCCTAGCAGTTTGAGAGGGGAGTGAGTGCCAGGATATGGGCCAATTATTATGTCGTTGTTTCTGTTTTGTGACGTTGTTGTTGTTGTTGTTGTTCTAGTTACGTTACATGTGAGTTGTTCAGCTGTGCAATTTAAGTTGCGAGATTCTGGAAGTGCAACTTGTCCAGTTTGGTGCTACCCTTGTGCTTTGTTTAGCCCTTAATAAGTTTGATTCTCCAGTCTCGAGCGGTCCTTCTGGTGGAAAACGACTGACGTTTCGACATAATAATAGGAGTTGAATGTGCTCGTGAATGAGCCTAGCTAACGTTGTGACGGCCTTTGTGAGGATTACCTGTACCTATTGCAGCCTGTCTGATGTCCATTTCAGACGAGTATATGATAGAGTACTGACAAGGGAGTGTTGCCTTGGTCAAATCTTTCATCTATACATTGGTTATTGATTTTATTTCAATTTCACTGGCATTAAAAGCGTTTTCTAGTTGCAGAACGAGAGAGTGAAATTGATCAGCCTATACTAATCCTTTGCCATTGGAATAAGCAAGGCGATCCAATTAAATGTGAAAAAGGCTTCAGATCATTTTCTTCTATTAACTAGAGTGTGGATTAGCTGTTAGATGATGATTGCAGTAGCGTAGCAAGATTTTTCGCGCCATGTCCTTAGCAGGACATCGGTTGACGTCAGTGGACAATAAAAGCGCAGATGAGGCCGTACGTTCAACCGCAATGACAGGCTGCACTTTTTGTTTACCTCTATTTAAAAGGGAAAGATATAGCGAGATTTGCTTTGAAACAGAACTATATATATGGTAATTGATGGCTATTGGTAAAACTGTGTGCTTGAAGGTGGCTGTTTTCGTTGCTTAACTTTAGCGTATTATGTTTTTAGATAGTAGATATGCGTTTACGAAACCTTCGTGTATAAAAGCTCTACTCATAACATGCTTAAAATTGTAACATCGATGGATCATAGTCGATGAGAAAGGTATAGGTAAAAATAGGAACATTCAATTAAATTATACCACTAAATGACTTCGTAGTAATCCTAGCAACACTTCAGAGACGATATCCAAATGATGTCACGATTAGTTAAGTTAGCTTTTTGCGACCTCGGCGCAGTAATTATTTTTGTGCGACATGTCTCGCATATATCATCGAGTGCGTATTGTTGCTGCTTTTACGTATCTATCTGAATATGGTCAAATTAACTTTAGAGAATGGCAACAGTATGTGTCCGATACAAAAAAAAAAACGCTTAGAAATAATAGCTCCTACCACAGCGGAGGACCGCTGCAAAGGCAGGAAGCTGTGTATTCGGCAGGCTTATTTGCTACTGACGCTACAGCTATCTCAAATATCCTGCCGCGTTGTCCTGCCAATGGTGGCTTCATGCGTGTAGTCTGTACGCGGATAGCGGCTGCTATGGCTGTTTGCCTATATCGACAAGTCATTTTACGCCACGTGCTTAACGCGTTCGCCAGTGTTTTGTGTGTGTGCGTGCATAATTGTTAGTTTGGGCTTCGGCAGCTCCGTGCGTCACGGCAACTTGCTGCAGGTGTCTTTACTCGAGTCAGCTAGTTTGGAAAATAGGTTTTGTAGCAAAAGCAGCGACAGGACGAGTACATAACAGCTACCGCTGTTTACGCTATTAGTGGTTAAACGAAAAGGGTCGATTCCTTTCGAAGAGAGCTGAGCTAAACCGTCGCTCTTAAACCAATAAAAGAAATATGCGTAGAACCCGATGGAATCGCCATTGCCGCTCATGCGTGCGGTGTCATTGGAAAGCCATTCGGAAAGCCGTTCATTGCGAAGTGGCACTACCGTGACAAGAGGCGACGCCCCCGGTGCCTCGTCAGTTCAAGTAGTTCTTGAAAGAGATACGAGGGGAAACACTTAACGAGGGGGGGGGGGTAGCTATCAGCTAAAAAGAATCCCGGCAGAACAATGGACATGCTGAGCATCGTAAATTTGTTGGTGCCGTCGACGTAAGAGTGCCAGTTGCGGGCTCGCGTACTGACTCTTACGTTGAATTGATTATGGTTAATTGTAGACTAAGATTAGAGAAAACGATTTTGTATTGTAGTGTTTTTTGATGCTCGTCTACTTGTCCTTCCTGGCTCCCGTTTACCTTCATCTATTGTGTCTGGCTGGAGGAACACGTTTCGTCCTATTAGGATTATTTTGGGCAGCAGCGAACGCGTTAAAAATAAGTTAGCGCCAAAAGTGATCTTACGCCGCCGGTTCCATTTTGTGCAGCTGTACGCCAAACGAAAACTACGGCGTTATCAGGTTTCGACGTTACTAGTTACATTGACTATAAAATAGAACCGTAAGTTTGATATTTGCGTGCGCGTGTTTCCAAGACACGCGCCTGCACTTATAGGTGAAAAGGATAGCACCTTTTGGCCAAACAATATGCCGATGTGATCGTGTCTACCGGACAGCACTATTACTTATTGCCTAGATTGGATTTGTCCTTAACGGCTGAAAGTGGTAAGTAACTAGCTAAACATCATTTGTCAACACAACAAATGGCTGTTATTCGGATGTGTATTACGTTGGCAATACTGTCGGCACAAATAATATCTATTTTGAAGGGTACAGCCCTACCATCATCGAACTCTGTTCAATGTTTTTCAATGTGCGCCACGTTTTCCGTTCGCCCATGAGACTCTACGATCTACAATAGGCATTAAGTGATGATGATGATCACAAAAATAATGACAATATATAGTAAGAACGCTGATATGGTTACAGTGGTGGTGACAATGGCCACCACGATTAGACCACGGATTCTTCATTGCGGTTCTCAGTCTGCGCCTGTGCAAACATCGAAATGTGCCGCCGGAGATGGCATCACTTCAGCTTCGATAAAGGTCTACTTTATTATAGAAGCCCACTACGTTTATTAACTCGAAGCATTTGCTCGGGTCGACCATTTGTGGCGGCCGGTTACAAACAAAAACAGAAGAACTCGTATACGCTATAGTAAAAGAACAATAAGTGAGTGACCGAGATCAGAAAGCGTTGCCGAGAAACCAAATAGCAACATAGGTGATGCTCGATTAGACCTGAGCAACCAGGGCAAAAAACAGTCGACGTTCTGGCAGACACCACCTGACAAAGTCAGATATCTATCTAGAAGCTAGGCTTTCATCAGACAGAAAAAACGAAGGGTAAGCAACTGACTGATATAAGCAAACGGGTTTCATGCGGCCTAATTTTTTAGCCAGGGTCCGATTTGAAGTATAGCTCAGACTACACGTTCAATGTGGCGCAGGTGTTTGACAGGAGAAGGGCGCGTTCTACAATATTCTAATCGTAGCCACACAGACGGCAGCTTGCTTCCAGAAGACTGCCATGCGACGATGGCGACGACGACAGTTTTTTCCTTTTGTAGAGGTCATCGAGTAAAAGGCCAACAGAGAGCGAACCGGGATACAGCTTGAGCTGGCCGGCTGGCTGGTTAGCCCATGCACGTATAGTCTACCGGGTACTGATAATGGTGCGGTGCGTCAATCGTCTGTATATATATGTATTAATCGTAGTTAGACTATGCATAAACTGCGTAACCCGAGCATTATAGCCTGGGTTTGTTAATGGCCGACTCATTGCTTAGCCGCCGTCATCGATCGCATGCTAGAAACAAAAACATGAGCTCGGATAGATGCTGGTGGTATACGACGTGTAGGTGTACACAATAGGCTCTCGGCGGTGCCAGCTGTAAGTCCTTCAGAAGCCAACGATCACCTTCTAACGGTAACATCAGAGCAAAGCATTATACCGTGCACTTTTTGCATACTATGCAGGCTCGAAACCCAATTTATTCGTGCGAGAAGATCGTGCATCTCTAGACCGCCCGTTCGGGTTTGAGTATCTACAGGACGCCAATAAAAGGTCTGTTTCTGTTCTTGTTTAGAAACCGCTTGGGGCCGACCCACATATACAATCACGGTGACTCTGATTGCGGCAGTGGTGGCAGCAACATTGGCCTCTACGACAGCAGCGGTCGTGGCCACTCTTGCTGTGGTTACTCGCCGCAGTGGTCCGCTGGGTTATACTAGTCGCTGCTGTTCGTCGGTGCACTGCTCGAACTTTAACGCTCAACTAAGCTAGAGGCTTAGCTTGCCGTCTTTTGGTGACCGGTCGACCGATCGCCCAATAAACGACGAGGAGGACGATGATGATGATCTATCTTTGAAGGTCGAAACGAAAGAGAACTTAGGGCTTATAGAGCCGCGTGAACAGACCCCAAACGGGCAACCGCTTGAAAGCGACTTTAATTTGCATTGCTTAAGTTTTCTAGGAGAGGATCAAGACGCTTTTTCTTAAAGGTTATTCTCAGTTCGGCGGCTGGTTGATGCTTCTAATGCATGCATCTCGTATTCGCTTAGCCTAAGTTCAGAGGCAGCCGCGCGCCTTGCCGTTCTTCTATCGGTGACAGTCTCCTCTGCTTGGCCTTAATGTCAAGTGAGACAACATCAGTCCGCAGCTGTAGCAGCAGGACCAGACAAAGGCACAGACAGCAGCGAAATGAGCAACGTTGTTTCCTTAGCGTATCGTTGTGTTGGTTAGCAATTAGAGCACGAAGTAGTTCGTCCGCATGACCGTCTTAGATAGGTTCGATGTAGAGACCTAACCCTATCGCGTCTCCGTGGCTCTCTGCGGCCAATAGTTCATTGCACGCTCGTTATGCCTTTGTTGCTGGCTGAACATGACAAGGGAAGTTGCCCTTGAGACAACATATTTATCCATGCCGTAACTTA